TTACAACTCTCTAAGGTTTCTATTCCTTGTAAACTGTGGAGCACAAAACACAATATTGATGAAAAAAATATAATAATAATACTAACAAAATTTCTACATTTTCTGGGGGGGGGAAAAAGTAGTGCTTGTCCATGTTTTACTTTTTTTTCTAACACAAATGAAGCAGAAGTGTAATAGTAGATTTAGTGGTTTGTTCCAATAAATAATGACCACTAATAACAATAGAGTACAATTTTTTACTAACGTGAGATTTTCGAGACGACAATCCGGGTCCATTAAGATTTGAGAGATGATCTCCACTGTCCTGTCACTCATTTTGAATGAATTCAGCAGTTTCAGCTCTCTCAAATGTGTTGGGTTCAATAAAATCCCTGAGAGCAGATGATCACCATCCTTTTGATAACCAAAATATGGTGCCCTAAAGAGAATATTGTAAAGAAAGATGATGCAGGTACTCGATTTTGAGTTTTTAAGAGTTTAAGATGAATGTATGCCAAATACCAACTGGATATGATTTTAACAGAAATTATCCGAAATCAGATAGAGATATTGTTTTATTTTCATGTAATGTCATATGGATTTTAAGACTGCCTTGGTGTGAAGATCTGATTTGCTGTTTTCAGTAAGAGATAAACACACTACCTAGACGGTATTTTAAGGCTGTTACAAAAAATAGGAATTAACGGATGTGTCCTTCACAGAGAAAGCACTGCTTAGTCAAAACAATTATCCAAGACTGTGAAAAATATTATCCAAGACACAGAAATATTGATTATATTTCTTTACTACTGCGAAGTATTGCTAAAATGGTTTATTTGAACTAAAATGTGTAATTTTACCCCATATTTCATTGGACATATTATTTATTAGAGCTCTTATTATTTATTAAAACAATGTATTATTAGCTTAGCAACTAACGCCAACTCGGTTACAGTTTTGAGCCATTTTGAGTTTGTGTGCGTTGTGTTACAAAATGTATTCTGACTACAATTCATAACGATTCATTCTCAGGATTGCTGCAAAGGGCACAATAGAGAACATTCGGTAACTTGTTAGATTAGGGAACACTATTCACTGTTAACTAGTTGCTCACTAACATGCATATAACTAGCATATTGGCCATTTATTAGTTCTTACACAGCACATATTATTGCTGACCAGATTCTAGATCCCTTAACCAAACCCTATACCTAAACCTAACAACTACAACAACTACCTTACTATCAATAAGCAGCAAATTAGGAGTTTATTGAGGGAAAACTCTTGGTTAATTGTGTTCCCTAATCTAAAGTGTTACTCAACACTTTAGGACTATGAGGAGTATGTATAACTGGAGGAAGTTGTTCCTGTTTCATTTGCTGTCGTATGGACTCACCCGAGTATCTCCACTTTGCAATTAGGGCTTCTCATACCAACGGATAACAGGCTCAAGTTTATATAACTGAAGGCCTTCTTCTCGATGTCGATCTCTCTGATACGATTGGCTGGTGATCTCAGAGCTGAGGCGATCAGTGCCCAGCTCAGATCTGTGGCCTCATCCAGTCTTAGGTAGAAAAAAAAGTATAGGTTAACTGATGTAAAATGCTAAAATAAATGACGTCTCGTGTTGTTTAGGCATCTGTTTATACACACTGAACATCCTGAATTTTCATTTATGTTAAAGTTGCACTCAGTATTTTTTGTTTATGCTGCATTGGCCGATACTGCAGGCATCTAGAACTTACACATACATGTAGTGGCGGTTTTCAGCTACTGATAGCATTGGAGAAATGTTTTAATATATTTCAGGAGAGAAGGTGCAGAGTATAAATATAACAACTATAATTAGAATAATGATGCGATTGGAGTCTTGTTACACATCATTATGAATGTTTTTCAAACATACAATTCATTTATTTGCATATTAAACACTTTACTGAGAAAATCAAATACTAAGTGAACCTTTAAAAAACGGATAGTCCCGTCCTTGATTCTGATTGGTTGAGCCGCGTTCGAAGCTGTTGTAAATTACACTACAAACATACACCTTTGTTTAATTCTGTGTGTTGCGGTCGGCAACCACTTTGTTGGAACCACAGCTGTTTCTGAGGAACTACATTGTTTGGTGGAAGAATACTCTGCTTCGTGTCGTGCCTAACAACGCCCCTTAGCTGTTATAAATTCACTGTAAACCACGGCTTCTTGGGGCTTATTGCTTTATTATCAAATGTTTTAAGGGCTCACACACACACACACAAACACACAAACAAACATACATATTCTCGCTGTGCTCACCTGAGGACTCTGGAGATCTTGATGATGGGCAGCAGTCTCATAATGGCTTCATCTGCATTAGTGTATTTCCTGACATCAAATATCAGTGATGAATCCTCAGAGGTCAGCAGAGTATTGGCTATATGTGACCACTCTGAAGGAGTGACGTGCACATCCTCATCCATTTGAAATTCAACCCGGCCTCGATTGTGAACCACAGGCAGGGCTACGTCAAGCTCCTCCAAACAGTGAGAGAGATTAACTGAGATCTCAAATAATGGCTTTGCCTTGATTTTCTGTAAAATATTTTTGACTACATCCTCTGTCCTTACATGAAGAGATGTATTTTGAAAAAAGCAGGACAGGAGCCTGTGGCTTGGACCTGCAGAGATGCCCAAGAGAAAGAGGAGAAAGATGTCTAGTTGGCCAGTTTTGCTCCTTAAAGCTCTATCTACTGCTCTTCTGTGCATATCAGCTGTAGGACTGAGCAACGTTTTAGCTTTTTCTGCAAGTGTAAAAGACATTACATTTCCCTTGCTGGGTTCATAATGCACAGCAACATACAATGCTGCCAGGAACTCTTGGACGCTGGGATGCGTGAAGCGGTACATTTTCCCTAAACCCATCAGGTTCTGTTTTCTGAAAAACATGGGCCAATCTTCAGAGAGTTTGACAGGAAGAAGAGGATCAGTATTGGTTTCTCTCTGGTCCTTCTCCATAAAGGTCAACGTGTCCTTTTCCAGCATGTGCCAAGCCAACTTACCCAACTTCAGGATCTCCTCAGTGCCTGATTTAGTGGACTTTTCCACTTGTCTCTTCATTTGAATCAGGAGAAAATGTGTGAACATCTCTGTCAGGGTGAGAGGAGGATCTGTGTTGCAACTGTTACTAAAAAGCTCTTCCAAAACAGTGGAAGCCACCTGACAGAAGAATGGCAAGGAGCGCATGATGTACAGGGTTCTGGATGATTTCACGTGAACAGTCGCTCTTGCGGCAACGTTTTGATCACGCACTTCACTTCTGATCCGTTCTTCCCACTGTAAGTCATCAAGCCCATGAAGTTCAACCACCCTCTGTATATGTTCTGGAGGAATTAGACCTGCATCTTTTAGCCTTGAAGTGACCAAGATCTGGGCAGAAGGAAGAAGGTTCCCTTTGAGAAGATTCACCAGCATGCAACCTACAGAAACCGGTGTCATTGGATCGGCGCATGTCTTGGTGTGCTTAAAATCAAGAGGAAATCTAAATTCACCAAGTCCATCCCATATAAAGAGGATCTGAGATCGTTTGAGGGTCTCTGGCTTCAGTAACTTTAGAAAGAGCAAATCTAAGAGATGCATCAGGCTGAGTTTCTTGTCATGTAGTATGTTCAGCTCACACAGGTGAAGAGGAAACACAAAATCAATGTGCTGGTGTGTTTTGCCACATGCCCAATCTAATATAAATGTCCTCACGGCTGTTGACTTGCCAGATCCAGATATTCCCCTCATCATAATGCTGCGGATACGCCCGTCTGTAGAAGAATGAGGCTTCAGGAGATCATCATAATTAATGGCATTTTCATCTTTAATGTCCTCATTGTGGGGTCTTTCCAGCTCACGCATCTCATGGACGATCTGGCCATCCAAATGTGTCCGTTTTGACACATACATCTTCAGAGGAATGTCGTCTGGAGCCTTTAGAGTGTCTTCATATTGTTTTCTTAAGCTTTCTTGCAGTGAAGACTTCAAAGTTTGGATCTCCTCTTTCGGAGTTTCTTCAACACCAAGTGAAGAGCTGGAAATGGGTCAGACATGTGTTCAGTGTGATTGTATACCATATGAAAAGACGGTGAGCGTGATTTGACCAAGTACAACATGTTCCTGGATCAACATCCTTGTTGATCCAGGAACATCATTCCAATCAACCAATCAGAATTGAGAGATAACTTTTCAGGAAATGTCAGTTTTAGGCTTACGATCAGGATTAGGTGCTTCTACACCCTTGTTAATCAGCTATCATTTCCCTCTGATTTTAGGAATAAATTATGGGTAAGGTTAGGTTTAGGGGTAGGGATTGGGTTAAGTCTGTATTTCTGGACAGTAATGTTGATCCAGGAACATGTCTTACTTGGCAAAATCACGGCGACCATGAAAAGACAAGACAGGAGAGAGCACGACAAGACTTACCACGACTCTGTGGGCTGATTATTCATTTTTGTTTGGTCTTGAAGAACATTTTCTTTTTGGTTTGATGCCATTGTAGTCAATACTGAAAATACAAAATACACACTCTATACACAGGGTCTCACGGGCTCTTTAAAGTGGCTAAAACACTACACATAAAATGTCCCTTATACCTGACAGGTATGGTTGAAATTAGGTCCTGAGAAAACACACCTGTGACACAAAACAACATGAATCTAGACTGCATGTGTTAGGCCACTATTCTGAGACACAGAAGTGAACTTCTGCATTAAAACAATAAAGGCACAAAAAAGTAAATTCAATCTGCCTCGGTTAAAACCAACTCTTTATTTTTATATAGCTACCGTTAAGCTAATAAATAGCAATCTAATATTTAGCCGCGTTTACGCTTTCTTACTTTCGCTTTTTTACTGCTTTAGTTTTTTAGGCTAAATATCTTCTCTGTAAACTTTAACCGTAATATCAAAACAATGATCAACGTATCAGCATGGATTACCGCAGAAATGCGATGATGTGTTGATATTATTCGACAGCGTTCATCGGGTCCCTCAGTCTAGTCTTCTCTCTCTCGCTCACAAGAGGCGTGACTACCGAGAAACATATGAGGAAGGGAACTGCTCGGTCGGATAATATCCAGCCAGTTTCCACTCCGAAATTATTTGCGGTGTCAGATTTGCGGAAGACTCCAAAAAAGGTAAACAAGCCTCGTCTCTTGCAGTGCTTTTCCATTCTGTGGTCGTTTTGATGTTGGACTGTGTGGCGCATCTCGCGTGCTTCTGTGTTAATGTTGTGGTTACAATCCTGTTGAGCTCTCGTTACAATTCATCCGATTGTGATTTAGGACACAGCAAGTCCGTTTTAAAGTCCGTTTTGTCCACGCATGAATGAAATGCTGGAATATTTCGTACTGGCATCAACATGTGTTTTTCACCACAAGAACCCATGATTTCATGTAGAACTGAATATGAATTGCATCAATAAGAAGGGACGGTGTAACTTTGTTGACCACCTGTTGCTATATGGATAGAAAACCTGTTGCTATATGTATAGAAAATGGAAAATGTGTTATCTAATGGTTTAGTTAATGAAAAGTGTGTCATTATTTACTTACTCTCATATGTTTTTTTTAACACTTTTATAGTAAGATACATGAACATATTGCAAACTCAAAGTTTGGATCTCTTCTTTAGGAGTTTCTTAAGCAGCAAGCGCTAATGTTAATGAACTGAACCTTACAGTAAAGTGCCTATGTGTATTTCTTTCTTAAAGGGGTCATATGATGCGATTTCAAATTTGTCCTTTCTCTTTGGAGTGTTACAAGCTCTTGGTGCATAAAGAAGATCTGTAAAGTTGCAAAGACTAAAGTCTCAAAACCAAAGAGATATTCTTTATAAAAGTTAAGAGTCAGTCATGCCTACCTAAAACGGCTCGTTCTAACACGCCCCCACATGTCTACCTCACTATGTGGGAAGATTTGCATAACGCCGTCCAAATGTTCACGCAAAGAAAGAAGGCGGAACTTTTATTCTCGCTGTAGTATTGTTGCTGCTGCCGCCATGTCGTGAAGGCGCTGTGTTTCGTTGTGAAAGCGAAACTACTTTGTTTGGTCTTCCAAAAGAGGACGATATCCGCTTCGTCATGCCTAGAGCTGATCTGTGCTGGTCGCTGAGGGAATACATCAACTTTCACCGTGGACGAAGCGGAGTCCAGCCCTCCTCAGCTCACTCTATCCCGGCCTCGGCGAACGCTAAGCCGGGGCTTCCCCTCACACTAGGCCGCTGTGAACCTTAAACCGCATAAACACATTTCATTACACCAAATGCACAAAATAATGTTATTTTTAGCAGCATCATATGACCCCTTTAAATGGAACATGAAAGAAGACTTTTAATGATAGTTTGAAATATGTATCTGTAATAAACTGACAGTTATATATAGGCTAAATAACTTAAAATAGATATTTCTGTTTACCAAAACCCCTCAGTTCAACGAACTACTACAGGAACTGGTGTTGAAATTCAAAGATGATGCTTCCTGCTTCTTTATCAGAACATCCTCATTTGAAGAAAGTGTGAAGCTTGGGTAGTTCACATGAAAAATAAAGCAGAAACAGTCTTTTAAGACCCGTTTACGCCAAGAATGATAACTATAAAGATGACTGTAATGATAACTATAAAGCTCAAGCTCCTTAAAGTCGGATGGATTCTGATTGGCTGTCAATGTTTTTTATCATTCATCAGCTGGAAAAAAAAAAATGGTCTGAAAGTAATTCCAACTATATTGTTCCTCTGTATCTTCATAGCTATGTGTGCTTCGCTATTCTCTAGAATTAGAACGATTTTTAAAACTTTGTCTTTATAGAGTTATATTTATCTACAGTATTATTTGATTTTCTAATTCTTTTGTAAATTATCAAAGTACATTTTTTTATCAGATGATTGTAATTAAGACTGCTATAGATTAGGGCTGTACGATAATGAAATCATAATTGTCGATTATTCCCTTGAAATTGTAATTGCGATTATTAATTACGATTATCACAATTTACATTAAATTATGTTTATACCATTGTTTGATGCAACTGCATGCCGTATTATTTTTATATGAAAATAAACAAGCTGAAAACACTCTAACTGAAAAACCTTTAGTGGTTTTCTATAGTATTAAGCCTCAAATATGCGAACCCACAACCTTTGGGTTACGAGTCCGACTCTCTAACCATTAGGTCACGACTTCCCCATACTATATTATAATGTTATACTAAAACTAAAATCATGGAAAAACCCTTAAGATAACATGTAGAAAGAAAAAAATGCATCTTAAGCACGCAGAATAACATAAGTGGACTTTGAACGATTAATTGCCGCTTTGAACGATTACGTAATTGTGGCATCCATAATTGTAATCGCGATTAGAAATTCGGTTAATTGTGCAGCCCTGTTATAGATGAATATTTGTACTTTTAAAAATATTTTTTTCCCTTACAGAAGTATTTAAATGAACTGTAAAAAAAAAAGCAGAAATATTAATAATATGTATACATTTTAACTTAGAATCATGATGTTATTTGTCAGCTACCTGTTATACCTATTATGTGTGAGAATGGGCAAAATATTAATTCTTTCACCGCCCTTCACATATATTTTTCCTTTGAATTCCCAGATACGCCAGTGTGTGCTCAGTTCTGGCCTGGACTATTGTGTGGCTGACCTGTAAATTCCCATCCTCCGGTACTCCAGAGATCACCATGGCGACAATCGTTATGGAGCGGATTGGCCGACTCTTCATTAATCTGCAGCAGGTGGGGCGAGTTCCCCAGATGCTCACCGAGGCCTTACCCTCCACGGCCGACACCCTGCGTGACACGGAGGTGCCCTGGTTTTTCCGTGAACGCTACATTCACTCTGGCTACCGGCCGCTGCACCAGAACTGGCGCTACTACTTCCTTTCGCTCTTACAGCGGCACAACGAGACCATAAATGTGTGGACGCACCTCATTGGTGTGCTAGTGGTCCTTGCGAGAACTGCACGGCTTACCGAAACCGTCGATTTCATGAACGACCCTCATTCCTGGCCGCTTTTCATCCTGCTCTTGTCCTCAGCGAGCTACTTGACCTTCAGCACCGTGGCCCACCTGTTGGCGGCGAAATCTGAAATCTGCCATTACGGCTTCTTCTACCTGGATTACGTAGGAGTGGCGCTGTATCAGTATGGCAGTGCAGTGGTGCACTACTACTACGCCATTGAGGAAAGCTGGCACACACGTGTACGAGGTTGTTTCATGCCTATTGCTAGCTTCTTGTGTTGCCTGTCTTGCTTCGGCTGCTGTTACGGGAAATATCGCAATTACAGCCTTCCTCCCTGGGTTCGCAAAGTAGGCCAAGTGGTGCCTTCAGCCGTCGCTTACGGCTGGGACACCAGCCCTGTGTTTCATCGTTTCGTCATCTGGTTTCTGTCCTGGATGAGTGGCGATTTCAGAAACAGCCCTGCACTGCTCTTTCACTTCGGCCAGGTGGCGTTTTTTCTTTCCAGTGCTTTTTTCTTCACCCAGCCTATTCCCGAGCGCTGGTTCCCAGGTCACTGTGACTTCTTAGGTCAGGGTCATCAGGTATTCCACGTGCTGATGGTTCTGTGTACAGTCTGCCAGATCCACGCTTCATATTTGGACTACTTCAACCGCAGAGACTTCTATGTGAAACTCAATGCTGATGGCGAGGCATTGTTCTTTGTTGCGCTCTTCATTTTAACACTCATCACCTCTGCTCTGATAGCCTTGTATATGCTCGCGAAAGTAAAAAGATTACAGGGAAAAACTAAGTAAAGAATAGGAGTAGCTTGTCCTGCACTTTAATGGTGGATGGTCAGCACGCTCCCAAGGAGTATTAGAGTTATAGGCTGATGAAATCTGATGAAAAGTTTTATTCAAGCCCACATAGCCTTTAGCTAACAGTGATTCTTCATGTTTCTGGATCAATATTCTTGTTGGTCCTGTAACAACATTCTTATCATCAAATTCGATTTTACAGTGTTAGGTTAGGGATCAGGTTATGACTGTGTTTGTAAGGATTGGACTTTGAGCAAATGCTTAATGTTCAAACAGATCATCATCGGTGTTAGTATTTCTGAATGTGTTATTAATGAACTGCTTCTGTTAAAGCGATAGTTCAGTCCAAAATGCTCCAAAATCACTCCAAAATCATTCGCTCAGCCTGCATGACTTTCGTTCTTCTACAGAAGAGCAGGTACTTTGAAGAATGTTGGTAACCAAGCTTTTGTTTCCACAAAAGAAATTAAGTCATATAGGTTTGAAGATTATGGGAGAGTAAATGATGACAGGATTTCCATTTTTTTTGGGTGAACTATCCCTTTAATTTCATTCCTGTGATGTACCATACTTCAGTTACACACCAGCCAGCAAAGTACACACTAAAGAAACCAGCGTGCAGTATTGAGAATATGGAAAGATATATCAATATTTAGGTGTCTAGATGTCTGATTTTACTTGAAGTATGTCAATTCTAAATTGTAGATTGTGTTATAAATGCGGTCTTTTTTATGTAAACAAAAGAACACAATGTTATATTGTCAGTCATCATATTGGCTTTGAGGTAGTAAAAAAAAAAGACAATCTGTCTTCATTTCTACGATTCTGAGATGTTTATTCTATGTCTTCTAAAGAGGGACAGTATTACCAATGCAATCATGATCACTGCTGTGCCTTAATGAGCATTTTAGATGAACCTCTAAAATGTGTAACTGATAACGAACAGTAGCACTGTATTACTGAGATTGCTTGTATTTGCTTTGAATGACCATTTGTACTGATTTTCTTTATAGTGTTATTGCACTTACCGGTCCCTTTTATTGCACCAAACCAATGCCTACTTACAATATAAACCGGGGTCATGTATGTGGATGTTAAAGGAAAAGGCAATGCAGAAATAATTTGTGCTTTCACCAGGTCAACATTTGTAACTGTTGTTCTCTTTTTCCAAGTATCCTTCTTCCTAGTGTTACTCTATTTTTTTTTACTTTTTATGTAAAAGGGACACTCAGCAATTGCCTGTTCTGTTTAGGATCCTTAATTAAAGCACTAAATACTATTCCACAGTGTATAATGCCTTCTGCTGTTTTAACAGTATATGAATTACAATGCAATGATTAAAAAATAAATATGTAAAACCAACTGCTACTTTCTTGCGGCAATTTTATACATTTTAATTAGTAGATAGTAGTATGCTATATACTACATGCTGCACATTCTTAACACATTTCTATCACTTGCTTGTTTTGTAGGTGCTTCTATCCCTGTATCTTGCAAACCTGGGCCTGACTAGAACATTCTGTGAAAGAAAGACCACCTTGTTTGGAGATGGTCACGTGGTTTGAGTAAACACTCAAAGTGAGGCTGTACTGCCCTCTTGTGTTTTCTTTGGAGTGGTCAGTTTTATATTTGGATACATTTTGTTAGCACAAAAATGCAAAGGTCAGGCAGATCTGTGCAGAACTTGAATGTCCCGTGTGGACTGTACAACAGGAAACCGTTGACAGCTTCCTGGAAAACGTATGATGCATAGTGCAGGGCTGCGACTGGACTGGAGCAAAACTCCCTGCTGCCAACACACTGATCAACTTTATCTGAGGGAGGAACTTCCTCTTTCAGAACTGTTACTGTGGGCATTTGGGTCAGTGTACACATGTACATGTCTTTTCACTTAATTTCCTGTTTCCTTGTTTGCATATGTGAAAGAATTGTGTAATTAAGCAGTAAGAATATCGGTTAGCTCGGTGTTGAGTAACTCCTGACACCAAACCCGAGACATCATCACAGGAAATATCAACAAAAGATGTTAAGCAATAACAACACACATATCAATACTAAGCCCCTCTCTGCCATTGAATGTAGACGGGAATAAAAAAGAAAGCATGTTCACGTAATATTCCATTATGACTGTTCTAAATGGGGTTTTGTTTGGAAAGGAAAATATGCAGTGGTTCAATAGTTTCCGTAGTCAGTTTTTTAATGTATAAAATCATGGGAAAAGGGTCGACTATTTAAAATGGGCCCCTAGAAAAAAAATCATAATAAAAGAGGAGATGAAGAGTTCACATCCTAAATTATGATATTCATCCCAAAGGACGACGATGGCATGACGGCAGAGTTGTTTTGATTATGGAATTGTACATCATGTTAACAAGGGGGACTATGGTAACAGGGTTGATGCATATTTTAAAGGGATAGTACACCCAAAAAATATTCACCCTCAAGTTGATCCGAACCTGTGAGTTTCTTTCATCTGTTGAACATAAAAGCTGATATTTTGAAGAATGTGGATAATCAAACAGTTGATGGATGGCATTCCATAGTATGGAAGTTAATGTTCAACAGAAGAAATGAAAAAATTATGACAGAATTAGGCTATCCTTTTTTTTTTTTGGGTGAACTATCCCTTTAAAGTATTTACATAAAACATTCAAATATAACAGAGTAGCCTACTGTAAATACAAAATAGCCTTAAAGGGTTAGTTCACCCCAAAATGAAAATTAGGCTGCGTTTTACTCACCCCCGATGCATCCTAGGTGTATATGACTTTCTTCTTTCAGACGAATCCAGTCGGAGTTATATTAAAAATTGTCTTTGATCTTTCAAGCTCTATCGTTGTACTCAGTGGGTGTTGCATGCATCAGTCCAAAAGACGTGAAATAAAAAGCACCTTTCCATAAAAAAAAGTGTCTCACACGGCTCCAGAGGGTGAACAAAGGCCTTCTGTAGCGAATTGATGCGTTTTTGTAAGAAAAATATCCATATTCAAAAACGTAATAATCACTTTAATGTAGCTTGCGCTCACTGTTGAACACAGAAGCAGCTCCGGGAGGATGACGTATGAGGTCAGCTTTGCGCATGCGCCGCTCAGAAGTGACGAACGTGGAAGCGCAGCGGAGAGATCGAAACAAAACAACCGTCACTAATTAGAAGTTCAAAACGAGGATTTGTAAAGAAGAATGTCGGAGGATTTCGATATAAGCCAAGAGGAGACTGGTTTTCCTTTGCTAAAGTAAGGAAACTTTGCTTCTTTTGATCCTGTAAACAAACA